AAGTTATGCGGCAAAAAGTTTTTTGTTAGTTTGCATATAGTACACACACATGTGGGCGTTGTTTTTGGGTGTCGAGTTGAGCTGATTTGATGGCTAGCCATCTGCATTAATGACTGCCCATGAAGAGTCTGCTCCGCCATCTCACCGCCGTGCCAAATTAAATGCATAATTACTTGGTAATTGGATTTGTGGTCGGCTCAACTGGCTGTGCAAAATTTTCTAATTAAAATGTTTAGTGGCAGCAGGTCGCCGCCTCACGATCGTCCCTTCATTCGTTCCAATATTCAAGACTGCGAAGAGGTCCTCGATTGCCACTTGATGGCGCCAAAGCCTCAGGCACGTTCTCCACTTGGGGTTCCCCGCCAAGTAGCTCAAGTCCCGCCCGCTGTGAGGGGAACGAACTGGAGTTACCTGGGCTACCAGGGTGTTTCTGGTGTGGCATGATGTTGAACAACTCTCTACAAACTAAATACTATAAACATTATTTAAATGATTTAAAAATATTAAAATAGTCAAGGAAGTTGTTTAAGTGAAAAACTAAAAACTTAATTTAAAAATGTTACTTAAATACAGAAAAGGTTTATATTTAGGATTACTTACAATTAAATAAACATTTTTTGAGCCTGATGTTTGACAAAACTCTATAGACAAACTTCTTATTAGCAATATTAAAATGGACAAGGAAGTTAATTAATTTAACTTACCTTGTTAGATAAATAAAAAATAAAAACTGAATTTATAGACTATACATAAAAACAACGAACAAGTTATAAACATATTTTATATTTTAATGACTTAATTACATTCACACAAAAAACCATTGGGACAAATAGACCAATATAATATTTAATTGGACCTAACCCATCGAATTGTCAATTTGGCGAATAAAATAGTTAAAACAACAAAATTCAAAATACTTTTTATGGTAATTTTACTATTTATTATTAACCAAACCAAAAAATCACATCCCAGGTTTGAACATTTGTTCAACTTTTTTTTAATAGTTACGTAACTATTCGTATTGGTCAATTTTATACAATACCCAATGAAATTTATAATTTGTAAATGCTTTTCACGATGTTTCACATTTCAGGATGGTTATATTAAAGGTAAGCCAACTTAAATGAAAGTCATTTAAGAATCAACATTTTTTAGGTATTGTACATAAAAACCAAATAAAATCGGGTGAACTCTTCCCTGATTTTAGGGTATTGTTTCTCCCAATATATTGTGTTATTTTCAGGTATTTCTCTTATCTCGGAAGCAGTGGCCTTGTTCGGCTCCCTGGGAGTTTTGGAGGCACAGCCGCTCTAAATAAGTAATAAACACCTTGACTGGGCCTCCTCCTGCACGTTTCGGAGTAATAAATTTCTATTTTCCTGTTGTTGCTCCGGTTTGTAGTGGCTGCGGGTGGTAAAAAAGGGGGGAGAGATGGTAAATCGGGCAGGCAGGATGGAAGCAATCACAGCCGGGTGCATAGTTTGGCGGCTTTTAAAATTTTCATAAGGAGCACCGGCGTCGCATTCGTAATACAACGAAATTTATTGCATACACTCAGGCGGCATTGCCTGCTTACTTATTCATATGAAATTGCCTGATTACCGTTGGCCAAATCGTTTTGCCCGGCACAGAGTTCTACGGCACTGTATTGGTACGTGTTTGAATTATATGCCGGTCATGCTGTGAATCGGGATTTGGATTCGGAATTGGGGAGACTCGGACCCAGACCCCCAATATTACACCGTAATGCGCCTGTTTGTATGGCAATTGCTGCTTTGGGCCGAATTTTTTATGAACTGTCCGGGTCATGACTTTTATGATTTGTAAGTCCATGGGTCCATGGAGCTTTCGGTAAGTGCGTACTCACATGTGTGTATTTTCAGTCACAAAACTCATTCAATTAAGCAAAATGATGAAATGACAATGCGGCAAATGGAGGGTAGAACATAGAGGGTTGTAAATCTACAAATCAGAAGAAATGGAATGGAAAATTTATGTTGGCCTTTCTTAAAATAAAAAAACGTTGATCTTTTCATTCATAAAATAGGAAAAATATAAATAATTTTAACTTAACTTCCTAACTAAATTAAATATTTAAGTAAATACATTTCCGAAAAGAAAAAAAAATCGTCTTAGCCTTCCCCTTTTTATTCCCACGATTTTCCTCTATTTTCACACACAGAAAATCATGAACCAAATGTGTTTTCCTTGTCCCTCGCAAACACTTGAGGCTCTATCAATATTTTGGTTTGGATGAAAATCTCCACTGGGCTTAAAAAAGCGAAAACACACAAAGTGCGAAAGCCTTGAGGACTAGCACGTGCTCAAAATCTCAGCAGGAAAAGCACACACCCAACTTGCTATAAACACCTTTGCCGAGCACTAAAATATAACTTAATCCCAACGAAATTGATATGAAATTTTACAGACACACGGGGCGTATGAGTAACAAACAAACACACACTGTCGCCCGACGACATGAAAGTTCTGCGCGGTAGAAATTTAAATTCCACTCATGAGGTGTAAAAATGTTTGTTGTACTATGGCTTGTAAAAGTTTTTCTGGTCTCCCTTTCATGTTGACTGTTTTTCCCCGTTATCCATTTCTGTTTTCCCTCAATTTTGCTAATTTGTTGACACTTCTTGCTGCTGTATCAACTTTGATGTTTGCTTTGATAATTTTAGATTGAAAAAGTTTCGTCAGCAGCAAGATTTTTCAAAAAAGCAGAGGAAATTCAATGAAAATTTTGTACGGAAAGCCAAGTGACTAAGAGCATAGATAGGACTTGGATTCTGTTTAAGCCACTTTCGAGGGAAGAACTTAGACTAATTACCCACATGGAAAACTGTATCAACCTTGTTCCACATTTTTCGCCCACTGCCGCTTCCTTTGTATCTTGTGAGGACAGAACAAAAAGGAAACGCATCTCTTGAGGCTGCCAAGCCACGCCTCTTAGCATACTTGACAATTACTTTCAGCTACCCATCCCCCCTCGTTTTCAGTGTATTTTATCTCACTCAATTTCTCGCCTCCTGGCTGCTTAATTTTTACACTTGCCGCCTCCAAATGACATCCCCTGAGGTATATATGGGGGAAAAAGTGGCTACAAACAATGCCAAGAAAAAGAAAAGTGGCACAAACTTTCCTCTTTCCCTGCCTTGAGGGTTGCTTTTTCGCCACGGCCACGTGAAAGGCATAAAAATGGCTTGAAGAGAATTTAATAAAAGCGAATTTCCATTTATTAAATTCTCCGGTTCATCGTCGCGTCTAATTTAGTCCTGTCTAAAAACTTTTGCAGGTTTTTGCGTGGCAACCAAGGCAAATGTTTATCTTGGCGCAATTCATAAAGCAAACCCCAAGAAATGCAAATATCTGTAGTTGGTCTGGCAAACATACACACAGAAAACCCAAGGAAGTCTGAGGCGTCTTAACCGCAACTAAACAAGTAATTTTGCGCACATTTCACTTGTCATATGACACGTAGTTTCCCCTGCTTTCCTTTTTTTTGGGCCCTGTCTGGAAGCGATTTTCCTACTTAGCAGCTAGGAAAAGTTGCAAGCTCGTTGCATTTTCCCAAGCCCCGACGGCGGCTCCTCATAACGCGTGTTAAGTGCTTCCCCGACGTAGATACAAGATACAAGATACAGGAGCTGCAAGTTCAACTGTTTCGTCCTTTTTGCTTGTTAGTTTCCGCTTTCGCAAAAAGGTGCGCCCTGCAGCATGTTTTCCTCGAATTCCACTATTTTTGCCGTTTTCAGGAAACACTTAAAGCATATCGGATAATATTAAGATATTTTCACGAGCTAGTAAAAGAAATTTTCAGACATTGTCTTTATGCCTTTTACAGTTGCCTCTGTTAATGGCCACGTTCAGCCAATTATAATTTTAATTGGCCGACGTAAAAGCTAACTGCCAAATACTTTGCGCCATCGTAAGAAATATCTCTCTTTAAGCCCCGGAAACTTTTCACAGTGCAGCTTTCGAAGTACCGACTAACTAAGTTTCATATTAAGACAGCTGCCAGACTGAAAAACGAGGGGAGAGGTGGTCACATACATCATAAAGCAAATCAAGCGTAAGTAACACCTTGATATAAAGCCAAAGTGACGGCGAAACTGGAGGATAAACAGGGCGTATACGCAATTTATTTCTCTCAACTAAGAATGTAATTAAGGTCCGGCTTTCTTTATTTTCTTTAATAACTTGTTTGATTGATAACATATTTTCTCTGCATTGTCCACACATACATATTTCCAATTGCAACTTAATTAAGATTCTCTATCTTGGAAATAAAAGAAATTCCTTTGCTCCAATCGCAATTTAATGACAAATGATTCAGTTCTCTTGCTGTTTATATGGTCATAAATATTAGGGGGAGTTCAAAGTTCAAAGAAGTCGAGGGTCTACTACTTGTAATTGGCACACAGATTGGGATTGTCGAACATGTGTAGTGGGTTTAGTCGACCCTCCTTGGGTTCTAATGAAAAAGGTTGCTCTTTGAACGCCTTTTGTTTGCTTGAGGTTTTTCGGGTCTTTTGTGGGTTCCTTCAGCTGGGAACTAGACAAATTGCCAGCGATTAAGATTTTTTATCAGACTGCTGAGGGTCGGCCATGAAAAATGAAGATGTTGAGGTTGCTTCTCTGGTTAAATGAAGTTAAGTAGTCGAAGGAGCCATAAATAAAGTAAGCCTCTTAAAGTTAGCCCTACTTTAAGTCCCACAAATTTAAGGACCTATAGTGTCGGAAAATTTTAGATCTCCTTTAAGAATTTCACCCTTGAAATCCAATTGTATCCTTTACACCTCTAATAACAGCCTTTAGCGGGATAATTAACACATTTGCCCACCCACAATCACAACGTCAACCCATTAATTAAGTGCTAATTATGATGACATCACGACAAGTCAAACCAATCCCACCCCTAATCCCTGGGATACCTATAAAACGAAGACGGCATTGGGTGCATAATTCACACCTCTGTGGATATTGTCACCGGCAGGATGAAATTGAAATCGATGGATACCGTGGAAATGCCCATTTTCGGGAACACCCTTAAGCTAATGAAGTTCTGGTCATATCTCTTCGTTCACAATTGGCGTCGATATGTCGCCATGACTCCTTATATAGTTATCAACTGTACTCAGTATGTGGATATATATCTGAGCACCGAATCCTTGGATTTCATTATCCGGAATGTGTATTTGGCTGTTCTGTTTACCAACACAGTAGTTAGAGGTGTTTTGTTGTGCGTGCAAAGATTTAGTTATGAACGGTTCATAAACATGGTGAAAAACTGCTATATCGAGTTGTTGGTAAGTATTTAGAAATATATTTAAAATTTTGTTTTATACTTAGAGATTTTTTAGGAATCAGATGATCCTTTTATATTACTTTTGGTGGAGAAGACCACACGTCAATCGGTTTTTATAGGAAGGGTAAACTTGCTTATGGGCTGTTGCACTTGCATTGGCTTTGTTACCTATCCCCTTTTTGGTTCAGAAAGAGGTGAGTAGAGAGGTTTCTTATAATGATCCAAAATCATTTTCCTTAATTACAGTTTTACCATATGGCATGTATTTGCCCACTATTGATGAGTACAAATACATTTCACCGTACTATGAAATTTTCTTTGTCATCCAAGGCATTATGGCCCCTATGGGATGTTGCATGTACATTCCTTATACAAATATGGTAGTGACCTTTACCCTTTTTGCCATACTCATGTGTAAAGTTCTGCAACATAAGTTGAGAAGCCTAGAAAAACTGAAAGATTGTCAAGTTCGCGGGGAAATAATTTGGTGCATAAAATATCAATTGAAATTGGCAGGGTAAGTCCTTAGTCTTTTGAATTACTCTTTGAAAACTTTTTTATGTTCAAACTACAGACTAGTGGACTCCATGAATGCATTGAATACCCATCTGCATTTGGTGGAGTTCCTCTGCTTTGGGGCCATGCTGTGTGTTCTTCTATTCTCGCTGCTGATTGTAAGTGGTCTAGATTTATCAATAATTATTATTATTGGTTACTAACCCTACAAAACAGGCTCAAACCATTGCCCAAACGGTCATAGTTATCGCTTATATGGTTATGATATTTGCCAACAGTGTGGTTCTCTACTACGTGGCCAATGAACTATACTTCCAAGTAAGAAGTCTTTATATTCTTTTTATATTGCTTGTGAATTTATATTCCCCCAGAGCTTCGATATTGCCATCGCTGCCTATGAGAGCAATTGGATGGACTTTGATGTGGACACACAAAAGACTTTGAAGTTTCTCATAATGCGTTCACAAAAGCCTTTGGCGGTAAGGACCTACAGACAGTTACTCGTTTATGTCTTCGTCGTTAAGCATTTTTTCCTCTTCAGATCCTGGTGGGTGGCACCTATCCTATGAACCTAAAAATGTTGCAGTCCCTGCTAAATGCCATTTACTCGTTCTTCACCCTTTTGCGCCGCTTTTACGGCTAAGGAACATTCGCTTACAAGGTTATCCCACATCCTTTTGGCAGCCTTGAAGAAACGAACAATTGCCACAATTGATTGCATTTAAACAGCAAATGTCCTCCACTAAGGATATTGTGTGCAGTGGGGGGGAAATGCGGTGCAATTGGATTGTTGCAAATGCATTCGAGGCAAGTGCAACACGTCTCCGAAATATTCCAAAGGAGCGGACCAACGAAATAAACTATAATAAAATTGCTTCTGTGGCTCCTTTGTTGCCCTTTCGGCCACATCTTCGAATGGCAGTTGACCACCAGGGCTGTTGGCTCTTTGTTATGCCCGGCACGTGCCATTCAGATAACTTCTATTTAAGCAAATATAAATCTAAAGTGTGCTAAATTAGATTAAAATGTTCTCGTAAAATAAACGTTGTCCAGTCTGCCGCCAGCTGATACAGGGTTTCCAGGACCAAGGAAAGAAACCACCTCTATTGTCTACGAAATTGCTTACAAATTCCCGGTACGAGTGCCAAGTGAGCCAAATTGTTAATTAATGCTGGAAATTGGAAACTCGGTTGTTTATCCCCAAAGAGGTCATTGTATAGGAGAGTTGGGGAAAAAGCTTTTATTGCTTCATTTTCTGAAGGAGAATTGGGTTTCTCAAAGTAAGGTAATTCAAAGTTATTGATTCAATTTGCTAGAAAAATAAAATGAAAATCGCAGGTTAAAATATGTGCTGCTAAATAAGGAAGTCCTTTGATTTCAAAGGTATTTTAATCCGCTTAATATTATGCATTGTCCTCTTTTCATAGTTGACATATTGGGGTGAGCAGTGAATAAAAGTATTTAATCTGAAGTATTTAATCAACTTCTGAGTGTAAAATATTTTTGAGCGTACTTTTCAGCACCTCAAATGGCATTTAAAAGTGGTTTTACAAACTAAGTGATATCTACGGCACCCCAATCATTACTAGCTCTTTTTAATGTATGAATTATATTGAAGAATTCAATATATATCTTCATAATTTAAATTATTTTTCAATTCCATCTCTGTTTCATCTTTATTTGGACTTCTTGTTTTCTCTCTTTATTCCAATGACTTTAACTTTCAGCCCCATACACTACTCACATTATCACTTCAATTTTCCTAATCAGCATTAACTTTGCCTTCAGCCCCAAGACTTTGTCCCCTTTCCAAAACCAGCCATCATCAACATCTGATTTCGGCGCAGACTCGTCTTCGAATTGACTTTAATTTAGGAATTTTTTTATATGCCCCTCACAGATCCAGGGCCAACCGAAGTCAGGAAGCAGAAGTCGGCGGCAGACCCACAAATGGAATCACTTGACGAGCCTTCAGGCATTGTCTGCGTCTGTGTCTGAGTCGGTTGGTTTAATGGAATTTACCTCCTTCCCGGACTCCGGAATCATGACTGCCGCGTTTTACTGCATACTTTTTGGCTGCGAGACTGAGGCAGAGGCCGGAAAAAATGCTGATGCGACAATTATAGTTATTGTCTGGCTGGTTTGGGGAGGAGCAGAAGATCCGCCAAGTTCTACCAGCCTCCAGTACGTGAGGCAGGCGAACGCCTAAGGACCTCCCTTCCCTGCCTTTATCCCAATGGCAGCTGGCTCATCTTGAATTTCAGATGGTACTGTGCCTGTTTTATTGCTAATGTAAACATGTTGTTGCTCCGTCAATGTCTTTGACGCCAAATTGACACATTTCTAGGGCGGATATTCCCGGCATCCCGCATCCCAAATAGTGTGCTAAAATGTTGTACGTGCGAGCATGGAGCTTATCAACACTAACAGCAAAAAGCGAAAGGCCAACAGTGGTGACACTTATAGATTGCAAAAAAAATTGACAAAAAAGCTAAATTGGAAAAAATACAACGTAACGAAGAACAATTTAGACTAACTGCGAGTTTAAATATCTATTGGCTTAAACATTTTTTAAAGGTGGCCAAAAGTATGCAACGGTATATTTTATGGAATAAGCCATCTTATTATAAAAATACTATATGTTACAGCATGTTTTTTGACACCTTAAATAATTTTCATATCTTATGAAATTTCTATAGCCTCGGAATATTTATGAATATTGGTTTTCTTGTTTAGGATCTTATCAAACATTGGCCAAAAATAGCCAATTCGGCATTACTATAAGACAGTTCAAGGCAATCTTTAATTTCCAGGCAGGTGGCAGTTGAAACAGCCCTTCAGGCATTCGAAATTTATCAGGGCTCAAATCAATTTACGTCAATTCTCGCCTCGGGCCAAGTTATGTGAGAAGATTGCTTGAGTGGAAATCATGACTGCTACCAGTGCCTAATGAGGCGACTCAGATATAACCCTTCTCCATTGAATTCCGCCACCCTCATTCGTGAATTTTCTTTCATAGTTCTCGCCCCTCAAATTCAAGGCTTATTTTATGCGCATCATCCAGAAATTGCCTACGTGTTGGAATTTTTAAAACATTTCTCGTGTTCGCCTCCGCTTATTTTGTTGACACTTGAGTTTTGACCGGGCCAAAAGGACAGTCGACGAGTGTCGTTGATCCTGCTCTGGCTGGGAAATTTAGGTCAAGCGGTCAAGTGTTTTATGTTTCTTTTTTTCTGGGGGTGGTAAATAAAAACCTTTCATGGGTTTTATGATGTTTGCCTGCAGTGACAAAAAGTTTAATGGTAAGGGCGAATTTTGGGGAATAACGAAGTCTGTGCAGCAAAGACTTGGGTTAAGTGGGAAGTTGTGCTAACGAAAACTTCATTTTAAAGGGACGGAAATATTTCTGTACCTACACTAAGAAAAACAATTTCAAAAACCAAAACCGAACGGGTCAAAAATTGCATAAGCCAGCTTGTGGACAATTAATAAATTCTCTTTTTTAAAATGTTACAAAATATTTGATTAATCGTTCGCATAGTTCGAAAAGCAAAGTAAGTAAAGTAAGTATATACCAAAAAAATTAGAGCATATTGTTTTTGAATCGTAAAAACTGTTCTTAAAATTTTCTGAGTGCTTTCAAGATTAAAGATTGTTTTTTATACTTTAATTTTTAAAAGCATCTTACTCATTTTAAAGCTCACTGTATTAGGTGTCAAACCAAATACGATTAGAATACATTGAAATTCGGGGTAGACATATTATCTTTAACTTTATACAATGTCAACCACTATTTATGTCAATACTTGGCTACCACAAAAACTTTCTCCCCCCATTAGTTTCCTTGACCCGGGAAGAATTGATATCTATGCCAGTGAATTGTCTGGTGACTGAAGTTTTCCATTAGTGCATGCTCTGAATAATTAAGCGCAATTTCCGTTGCATTGCAAGGCTAATTGAAACTAAAAGCGCAACCTGCAATATAGTACCTCTTGCATAATTGAGGGCCAAGTGGCTTTTGTGTGTGGCCAAATCAAATTTAATTAACTGACTAAACAGCTGGACGTCGGTTACGCGGTGGCATTTGCCTTATGTGTATTTGCCTGGCTAATTTAATTAGTTTGGCCATACAAGTTGCAGGCATTTATGCCATTGGCTTTGAAGACCAGACCGAAATAAACCGTCAATCTGAATCAAAGTTGCCAATTTTTCGATAAAACGCGTTTAATTCTGGCCAAGAGCACAGATTGCTCTCTGCTCGTTTGCCTGCCTGGCAAATTGCTATTTACGGTCCGGACAGGTTGGCAGGATCTGCCGAATGCCATCAAAATTGCTGCACAAATCTGATTAAGATTTCAGTTTGGTAAGCGATTTATGAATGCCAAACGAGAGTGCGTGACCAGTGCCATTGCAGGAATGCCTCCTTGTTGGTCAGGACTTTATGGGCAGAAGCCTCCCGCTTAATGTTTTCTTGTTTGACCAGTGTCGTTTTGGCTGCCGGCCAATTGCAGCCGGAAAGCCTTTCAAATTCTGGCAGAAACAAAGTGGGAGTCTCACAGTTTCCGGATTGTGTCACCTAAAATTGTGAAAATAAAAGGTGGTAGCAAAAGAGATGCAGTTCTGTCCTTAAACTAAGTTAGAAACATTTCAGGGTGGTAATAGTTGTCTGATGCGTGAAATTCTACTGTGTTTACACATTTTAATCGGATTTTCTGTTGTTGCCAGGGGTTTTATTTAAGCTTATGAAAAAGCTCTTATAATATCTATCTTTAAACTATAAGTACTCGTGAGGAATCCATATTAAATGTATGTACTCCAGTTGGTATAGAACCTGCTTAGTACTTTATTTTAATTCTTATCTTTCCCATGCTGTTAGCTAATTCACTCAATAAGAGCCAATTCTCAACTAATCATGCCTTGAGGAAATTTACTTTGTCAACTATCTTTGTGTCTGCTTTTACGTTACATTTCTATTCTCGCTTTTCTTGCATTTTCCAATTTTATTGCATTTCCTTTCGATTACTTTGAGTTATTCCAATTTGATTACAGCGCGGTCACTTTTTGCACTCCTTTTTTTATTTTTTTTTTAACACGCCACTTATTTATTATGCATTTCTTTCTACCGACGGGATGGTTTCCTAACAAAATGTTGGTTGTTTTTTTCTTGAGCTGCTTGTCTGGCGGCTTTGACATTTTGTTGTGGCCTGTCGTTTTGCATTTTGCCTGTCTTTTTCCATTCCCTTTTTTTTAGAGTCTACTCCATTTGGGCCTGTTTAGTCTCCGGGGTAGATTATCACCGTCACGGCAAATAAGTCTGCTGGCACTTGCCAGCCCCTCTGCCTTTTAACATTTCAATTCTAATTTAAATATTATATTGGTAGAAGCGGTAGGCCCAGTAGTAATGTTCACACATTTTCTTTAACAAAACTTTAAGTCTTAGTACTAAAGAATTTAAATGGCACCCTGTTAATGTCCTCTTATATCTGATGTGTCATAAATATTTTTAACAACTTTGGCATGCTGACATTTGCCAGCTCATTTAGTCACGCCACATTCAGCCAATTAGCTAATTTAACCTTGACGGCGACCAGCCCAGGTACAGTCCCTCATCACCATGTTAGCTGGCTGTTAATTAACATTTTC